GCAGGCCTTTGTTGTTGCTGCTGGTATGCAGCAAAAGAGTCCCACTAGACCTGAGTTGAGTAAGAGAACTCATCGGCCGGTATCCTGCGAGAGTGGACATCCTGGAAATTCTACCTACATCTGGCTTGGAACATTTACATTTCTTAGCATCATCCAAATCAGAACCAATCAAAATGAACACCTGGTTAAATGGTCACCTGGTTCTAATGGACGTTGATACCGACGTGGCTGTATCAGTGATTGTAGAACCAGTCTTTAACAAAATTCAGCCTGGACTCCAACCCTCAAGATTGTGTAAGGCCTCGGCTGGACTGAGAACCTATACTGGGAAACTTTTACAGATTAAGGGTATAACTTAGGTTCCAGTTTCCTATGAGAAGCAGCTGGTTTAGTTACCACTGATTATCGTAAAAGGCTTGGGCCCAAGCCTGAATGGGTAAAATGGGTGAGAAAGATTCACCTTGAATGGCTCAACATTTTCTCGATTAGAAAATGGCTGCCTGAGTGAAGTCCTAATTAAATACCCGGATGTTTTTCAGGAAGGTCTAGAGACTGTCAAAGGAGCCAAGGCCACCTTGCATGTTGACCAGGAAGCAATTCCAAGATACTGCAAGGCCCACCCAGTATCACTTGCCAAACAGGCAGAAGTAGAGGCAGAAATCAGGAGGCTGGAAAGTGAAGGAATCATCAAACCAGTACAGATTGTGGAATGGGCAGCACCGGTCGTAAAACCCGATGGGTTGGTTTGCCTTTGTGGGGATTTTAAACAAACAGTAAACTGCTTCTCACAGCTGGATAAATACCCAATCCCTCACCGTAGAGGATGGTATTTTATTGTGCAGAACAAGAGTGATTGTCTCAAGCAAAGGTCACAGCCAGATACTGACTGAACTTCACCAGGGTCACCCAGGGTGTCCAAATGTAGATGTTGGTGAGAAGTTAAGCCTGGTGGCCAGGATTGGATGCAGACATAGCCGCGTTGGTGGGCCAGTGCCCAGAGTGCTAACAAGGACAAAAATTACCACCAGCAGCTCCCCCACATTCGTGGGATTGACCGGCTAAATCCTGGACTCAGTTACACATCGACTATGCCGGCCCTTTCATGGGCTCAACGTTCTTAGTCATTGTGGATGCCCATTCAAAGTGATTGGATGTGCATAGAGCTCATTCGTTAAACATGGGGATGACAATAGAAAAGCTGTGAGCTTCTTTTGCAATACCCGGGCTCCGGAAGTGTTGGTTACAGACAATGGGCCATCGTTTACCAGCAGGGAATTTGAGTATTTACTAAAGTAGAATGGTATTCAGCACATAAGGACAGTTCCATGCCATCCATCGTCAAATGATCTGGCAGAAAGAGTAGTCCAAACTTTGAAGGCAGGCTCAAAGAAGCAGCTTCATTAGCTCCAACCTGTCGTGGTTCTTGTTTGATTGTGGGACCAGCCCTCGTGCAACTCCAGGGATAGCTCCAGCAGAGTTGCTAATGGGGGGAAGACTCTGCACCAGATTAAACCTGATTTTCTTGGACCTGGAGGAGAGGGTGAAACTGAATCAGGAACACCAGTGCCGGACACCACACGACACTAAGCGAGGGAGACAGTTTACTTCAGGGGACGAAGTTTGGTGTTGGAACCATGGAAATGACCCTGCATGGGTAAGAGGCATGATTGACACAAGGTCAGGTCCCTTGACGTACAAAGTTCAGGTAGGCGAGGTGTTCCTGAAAGAAGGATGTGGGCCACATGAAAGCGGCAAACGCACAAATGGGGCAGAAGCAAAACATACCTGGCCCCTCAGAATAGCCAGAAAGGAACCCATGGGTTCTCTCCCTCCGTCTGGTGTCAAAGAAACCTTGGAATCTGAGATGGACACAGTGGGTGTCGCAGCCTTGATGCCTTTACTGCCTGAATAAGAAGATGAATTTATTCCAAGAAGCTCTGGGCACAAGAGGCAGGCTACAGTCTGATACACACCGCCTGTATCTGAGGCTGAGTCTGAGCAACCGTACCTGGTGCAAAAATACCCCAGGAGAGACTACAAGACAAAGAACAGGCCTACATCCCTGGCTGTAGAGGGGAGGGATGTAGTTACTGTAACAAGGTCAGCCAGATGGACCTCATAGAATATGAGTTCCCTGATTGGACTAGATTAACAGCCCCAGTCAGGGAGTCCTGGCTGACAGATATAAACAGCAGTGTCAGAGGTTCTGTTCTCTGAGATCTGGCTCTGAGGGAGCTGGACCAACATCAAGTACTCTCCATATGTAAATAGAGGGTGATGGGATACCAGCCTTGTGGAGTTATTTCACCAAGAATAAACTTTTTGTCCTTGTGGTGGTTTGGGGAGGGGGTCTCTAATTATCTCGCTGAGGGCATCATAGAATGCTTCTTTGACCTTGTGTGTATGTGTCATTTTTGGAACATTAGTGTTCATGAGTGTTGTATACTGATTACTGGCAAGATTCAAACAAGAAACCATGAGTCAATCAGTGATTCCTGTAGGAAGTGAGTCAGGCTTATGTGCTAGTTTGAATTGAATGGCAAACACTATGCCTCGGTCTAGGTTGTTATTTACCTTAGACTCACCAATCCCGTAGAGGTTGTCACCAATCTGAAGCTGACACTCAGTGAGCCTGGTTTTGTTTAGAATGTTGTAGCTGTATCTGTGCAGCAGTCCAGCTGTGAGGCTTGTTCTGCACTCTGGTGTCACATCGGTGTCTGAAAGCATCCTGACATTCCATGAACTGACCTTCGTGTGATGGTTGGTCATCTGGACCTTTACATTTCAACAGTGTGAATGGATGACCAGCTGTAATCCAGAACAGCAGGGTGTGTTTAAAGTTGCTTTTCTTCCCCTTCTCTAAACTGGGGAGAGCAGTACTGCACCTGAAAAGATTTGCTCTTTCTCGCCTGAGGTGGATATAAACTCCACATTCGCCCCGCTATGTCAAGAGCAACCATTGTTGTGCAGCCACCTGCCTGCAGGGCTACGGCTGTAAACTGCTAGTAGCATCCTCTACCTGTCCCACCCATTGCCACAGGATTGGTGTCTCTTTTGTTTTAGTCAAACAAATTGCAGACAAAATTACGGATGAATTTGCATATGTTACGAATGTGGGTGAGGTTTGTGTACAGCTTCGTCACTCCCTCGTCCATGACAGTACTTCCATTCTGTGAGGGAAAGAAAATGGATGCCACAGAGGAAGCATAAACAATGTTAACAGCTCAGTGGGTATTTTCTCCAGGTTACAGTCAGGCACACCCCGGAGAACATTTTACTGCCACCTCTCCACAACTAGCCAAATAAGAATTGTCCCAGGTCGCCGACACTCAGTTAATGAAAGATATCCCTTATCTATGTGTTCAGCAACTTCAGAGATTTGTAAAAATGCACTCCAAGTTGTCTTCATTCTTCAGCACTTCAAAATCTCCTTATGTGGCCCTGTGCCAAATTTTGTTTGATAATGTTCCTATGAGGTGCCTTGAGACAATTTCAAAACAGGTACCAACAGATTCAAGAATGGCTTCTTCAAACTTATGATCAGACGTCTCATATATTAGAGTTGATCTTTCTTTGCACCTCCTCTGTAGCTGTAACTATATTCTGCATTCTGTTTTATCACCCTGACGTACTTACGTAAGGTATGATTTATCCAGATAGCAAACAAAACAATACTAGTCACTGTATCTCAGCACATGTGACAATCATATATCAAATCAAGACATTTTACAATGTGAAGGGTGTTGTACAAATTCACTTTGATATCATTGTTTAGAATTTGGTGAATCAACCTATGGTATTTTTTAAAATTTCCATTGACTAAACAGCTGGTTCTGCAAAATGTGAGTGCAGCAAAATGTAAGGGTCTAGGCCCGAAACGTCAGCCTTTCTGCTCCTATGATGCTGCTTGGCCTGCTGTGTTCATCCAGCTCTGCACCTTGTTGTCTCGGATTCTCCAGCATCTGCAGTTCCTGCTATCTCTGGAGGAAAATGTTCTTTATTTTTGTAAAGTTCAAATCAGAGTACTTTTAGTAATCATTAGTAATTCATCTCAAAATACTGATTTTAACAGACTCAGTGTAGAGTGCATTACTTTGGCTGAGTTTCAATTTCAGCTGGAATCACACATGAGGGAGCCACACAGCAGAGTGACAGATAGAGTCAGAGTGTAAAGGATATCCCTGTTATCCACTTTAGAACAGTTGGTGAGTTTAATACTGTTAGAATCCAATTCCAGTAAATTTTCTTGATAGAGTATAATGGTGAAGGGAAGGCAGCTAGGAAAGTACAACTGGAGAAAATAATCTTTGGTGCGTTTATAATGCACTAACTGATTTGAGGCAAGCAGCTGCAACGTTAGTTCAATCCAGACAGTACCTTGTTTATGCTGCTTGATACCATGTGGAATACTGCCCAGAAGTAAAACCTGCACTAGTATGCTTACACACATTTGCAAAGCCTTTCTCTCTCTGTCCCGTCATTTGAAATGTTAATGTTTGAAAACGTGAGGGAAATGACCAATTTTAATCAATTCCACATAATTTTAAAATGTACTTAAGGACTCCCTGAGTATTTTATACTCCAGGTGCTGGACTGCCTGCATATGATATCAAACCCAAAGTAATAGGAGACTGTCTCCACCAGTCATGAGACCTACACTGGTACCTTTCAATTATTTTTAATTACATTGTAAAATTGCACCAAGGGCAATCTTATGACTTTAGCAACCAGCCTGAATTTAACCAAATTATGTCTTCTTTATTCTAACTAATATTTTTGTTTATCTATATAGAGTAGATAACATTGAATAGTGCAATGCTTTTCCTTTTTTGTTGATACCCAAATTCAAATTCGTCCCAAATTATTGGAACAAATATTTCATCTGCGAACAGTTAATGAGGATTCATATCAATCTTTGTTTTTTTTTATTATTACGATAGTAATTACTCTGTTGAGTTTTCAGAATGCTCACATAGCTAGAAATACAATTCGAAAGGCAAAGCACAAAAAGTTCCCACCTCCACAGGAAAATCCATCTAACAATAAATGCCCCTGTAGGCCGAAGCTTTGCTACATGCCCAGAACTTCAGTGCTCCTTTTAACTGGCATCTTCTACATTTTCTGTCCCGATATATCATGGGTTTTGTGCTGGTATTCAACTCATTGATCTTCAGCATCTCGTGGAGAGGGTTAAGGATGATGGGATGGTGTGAGTGTGTAGGGGCTTTTGAAATGCACAATCTCAGTTTAACACAGACTTCTGATCCAGGATTTTACTTGCTGACTCTTGGCCCGGTGTGGCGGTCTTTCGGCCTGGACTGGTGGTCTTTCGGCCCGGTGTGGTGGACTCTCGGCCCCGTGTGGCAGTCTCTCGGCCCCGTGTGGCGGTCTCTCGGCCCGGTGTGGTGGTCTCTCGGCCCCGTGTGGCAGTCTCTCGGCCCCGTGTGGCGGTCTTTCGGCCCGGTGTGATGCTCTCTCGGCCCTGTGTAGTGGTCTCTCGGCCCGGTGTGGTGGTCTTTCGGCTCGGTGTGGTGCTCTCTTGGCCCTGTGTAGTGGTCTCTCGGCCCGGTGTGGTGGTCTTTCGGTCCGGTGTGGTGGTCCCTCGGCCCGGTGTGGCGGTCTCTCGGCCCAGTGTGGCGGTCTCTCGGCCCAGTGTGGCGGTCTTTCAGCCCAGTGTGGCGGTCTCTCGGCCCAGTGTGACGGTCTCTCAGCCCGGTCTGGTGGTCTTTCGGCCCGGTGTGGTGGACTCTCGGCCCGGTGTGGCGGTCTTTCGGCCCGGTGTGGTGGACTCTCAGTCCGGTGTGGTGGTTTTTCGGCCCGGTGTGGTGGTCTTTCGGCCCAGTGTGGCGGTCTCTCGGCCCGGTGTGGTGGTCTCTCAGCCCCGTGTGGCGGACTCTTGGCCCGGTGTGATGGACTCTCAGACTGGTGTGTTAGGGGATGGTGTTGGATCGCAGCATTTGGGAGCTCAAGGTGAATGGGATCGGCTGCCCTTGCTGGGTTCCGTTAGGAGAAGGGAAACAGATCAAACAGATCTTGGTTGTGTTAGACGAATGGGTCGGGGTTTGGAAAAGGATAATCAATTTAGAAAAATGTAGCGTTATGTACATTGACACCTCGCATGCTGGATATACATTCTCCTTATTCACACACAAAAAAAATTTAAGGCCAGTGATGAAAGAAAGAGACCTGGATGTTTAAGTGCATCACATAATAATTCACAACAGAGAGACACAAAATGTACGTTTTGTTTTCTTCTACAAAGGGTTGCCAGTTCTGGTTTGATTAAATTCCTGGAAACCTTATCATGTGCCATTTGATCATAGGACATCTGTGATGTTTAGTCACATGACAAATGATCACATGACATGCACCCACTGTTTTCATGTCAGTAAGTCCTCAATAAAGTATTTGGCCCTTTTATTGTGAGCTGGATTATATAACTTGTAAATTAAAGATAAAAATCAAAACATAATAAACCTTAAGGATGGGATATTTAAATAAAATTTATTTCTATGACATTTCTCAATGAGAAACATCAAGTAAATATTTCTGAATCAAGAGGAACATTTTTGAATATGTCACTTTGAACAAGTGATTTCATATAATTTTATGACTTTTTTCAACACAGTATTTTGGCCTTTTGTTCCCAGAAGTTCAAAATAATTCAGATTCAATGTGCTCCAGCTTCATTGAGTGTTTTTCTTGCTGTACTCCATGTGGTTGGTGATCATATACCTCGTTGCCTGGCACCTGATGACAGTGCAGCAGTCAATGTGGCGCCCATAATATATATTTGCATAACGATTTGCTTCCAGCCCTTAACAAATAATATAAAAAGCATACATCCCTCTTTCTTTACAAAAATATAATACTATATTACATATGTATATATAATTATATAGTATTATTATATAATATTATTATATTTCTCTATTACAGTACAACTGCCCCAAATCCGAAGACGAAGAATTGGCGATTACAATTAAGAGATGCTTTAAAGCTTGCTTTCTTTTCTCAAGAAAACAATTTTAGCAGTCTCACTTCGGTGGTAAAATGGTGTGCCTCTTCTTCTGAACCCTTGCCTTTACTGATCGTTGTTGTGAACTGTTTCAAGTTTATCATTTCGTCAAGACTTGATACAAGAGCACCCTCTACTGGGCCAACTCCTCACCACCCATTCACCATTTCCACTTGTTCAGAAATAGCACAGAATAGTCATAATGCCATTTATTACAAAAACAGACCCTTTGGTCCAACTAGTCCATGCCGACCATGTTCTCAAATTGAACTAGTCCCACTTGCCTGCTTATGGCCCATATCTGTCTAAACCATCCCTATTCATGTACCTATCCAAATGTCTTTTAAATGTTATAACTGTACCTGCTTACCTCATGCTGTCCCATCCCATCAGAATGCAAAAAATAAGTATGGACAATGTCCCCTTTAACATGTCTGTGTGTGTGGCAATGCAACTGTTTGGAATGTACCACACATTGAAACCAACAGCTCACGCAAAGGCTGGAGGGGAGCATCAAATCCCAAGAGCAAAATCCAAGCTGCAAGTGAGAGTGGGAGAGAGTTAATCTCTGACTGGAAGAGCAGAGAATAGAGGAGAGAGTGAATATGTAATTGGAGGAGCAATAAGCTCGAGCCAGAGGGAAGGAGTGGTCCACCCAGAAGTGAGCAGTGTGTGAGAAAGCTGGGAACTGCGGAGCTGGACAAATCCTTAGAGTCTGGTGATAGACTGAGATTAACAGGATGAACATGCTCCCAATTACTTATTCAAAGACTGTGGGAGGGGGACAAACGTGGGAAAATTTCCCAATAATTGGTGATTCTTTGAAAGTGGCTGAAGAAAATGATGCCTGTGGAATGTTTGACTGCCAGCCCTGAATGAGCAAGACATAAGGTGTTCTGTTCCAGAAAGCCAGTGAAATATGGAACTGGGTCCAATCCAATACGGATCCAGCTGATCCAATGTATTTCACTATATTGATTCACAGAGGTAGCATAGTCCTCCTAATGCAACTGCCATCATTTTGAATGTAAATAAAAACCGAAAGAACTGCAAATCAGGAACAAAAACAGGAGTTGCTGGAAGAGCCCAGCAGGTCTGGCAGCACCTGCAAAGAAAAAATCAGAGTTAACGTTTCGGGTCTGGTGACCCTTCCCCAGAAATGTAATTGTCCTTGAGAAGTGAAAGTGAGTCGTCTTCTTGAACTACTGCAGTCAATCTGGTGTAAGATGCCCACAATGCTGAGTAGGAAGGAGCCCAAGTGTTCAAATACTATTGCTGTAATATTGTTAGGGATGCAAATGATGTTTTAACTTTCATTATAAAGGAATTAGAATAAAAGATTAAAGTGATATTACTACTTTCTACTGGACTTTGGCGAAGCCGTAGTTCAGTATTTGGTGCAGTTTTGGTCTTACTACGTTTGCCTGAGAAGAATTGCAATGAAGATTCATTAGACTGGTTCCTGGATTGAGGGGATTGTCCTATGAGGAGAGATTGGGTGGACTAGGCCTACATTCCTGATATTATTTAAAATTCACACGAAGAAAAATGCAAAAATGTCATGAGAAGATTTATTTTACTGTTCATTTGTTTCCTTCCTTAAAACTCCTCTAAATTGATTGTTATAACTAGAGAATTTTTAACTATTGTGACTATGTCTAACAATAAGTAGTTGGAACATCCTTTTATCTCTTCAAACAAGTGATGTATTACATCAATGACTTGTATGTCTTCAATGTAATAATTTTTGACAGTTAATAATGAATACATGTATTTCATCAACACCCACATACTGATTAAGGATGGTATGTGTGGGCAGCACAGTGGCTCAGTGGTTAGCACTGCTGTTTCACTGTGCCAGGAACCCGAGTTTGATTCCAGCCTCAGGCAACTGTCTGTGTGGAGTTCTCCCTGTGTCTGCATGGGTTTCCTCCAGATGCTCCGGTTTCCTCCCACAGTGCGAAGACGTGGATTGGCCATGCTAAATTGCCCATATTGTTCAGGGATGTGTAGGTTAGGTGGGTTATAGGGGGATGTGTTTAGGTGGAACATCTGAGGAGCGGTGTGGACTTGTTGGGCCAAAGGGCCTGTTTCCACAGTGTAAGGATTCAAAAAAGTAATTACAGTTAAATAAATGTGCTTTCACACCAATCTGCAGCAGCAGATGAAAATATGTGATTTATTTTCACGTATAAACTAGTATCCAATTAATTTTGTGATAATTTCTTATGATAATTTCCATTGACAACGACTCAGCCTCTATTTGCAAACATTGATTGCATTAATCATTCTTTGGCAAAGCACACAAGATGATTTTGGTGATTATAAGAACATAACACCTAAGATATAGGAGCAGAATAAGGCTGTTAGGCCTATTAAGTTTACCGCGCCATTTGATCGTAGCTGATCTGTTTCTCAACCCTGTTCTCCTGCTTTCTCCCCATAACCTTTCATCCCCTTACTAATAAAGAACTTACCTCTGTCTTAAATACATTCAATGATTTGGCCTCTGTGGCAGTGAGTTCCACAGATTCACTAGCCTCTGACTGAAGAAATTCCTCCTCATCTCAGGACTAAATGGTTGTTCTGTTCACACTGATGTTGTGCGCTCGGGTCTGAATCTCTCCTACTATTAGAAACATCTCCACGTTCACTCTATCCAGACCTCTGAGTATTAAGTAAGATTCCATGAGAACCACCCTCATCCTTCTAAACTCCATTAAGTACAAACCCAGAACACTCAACTGTTCCTCATATGACAAGCCCTTTATTCCTGGGATCATTCTTGTCAACCTCCTCTGGATACCCCCCAACACCAACACATCCTTCCTTAGATAAGGGGCCTAACCAGAGTCTTATACAGTCTCAGATGTACGTTTCTGCTCTTGCATTCTGTGAATTATTGACTAATTTAACCAATTTCAATTTAGTTTTCACAAAAAGAGTACTTATAGTCAAATTTTAACTATTCAAAATTTAAATGAAATACTTATACTTAAATGCTTCATGTACTTCATCCCAAAAAGATGGTCTAATCAATTCCAAAATAAGGTATTAGGCAATGATATTCCCTTGGAGCATCCAGTCTACAAGTATGGTTCAAAAACCAAGAACTCTTTCCTTTTCCAGAGTGTCATTATGCATGATGTCATAAAATTCCATCAAACAACACTTGGCCCAATTTTCATAGCTTAATTTGTTGGAATACTATTTTAGCACTTGAACTCATGTCCAGATAGAAAACCAATATATGGCAGAATCTTGCTAGGCACTGAATGACATGGACATTGGCAAGAAAGTTGGGAGAATTGTGCGAGATTGGCAATGAAGAGCATCCCAACGTTGAGTGCAAAAATTCCCATTTTCCAAAAAAGTGTTGAATGGTGAAACAAGATGGTCACAAGTGAGCAGTGAGAGGTCTATTTGCATGGATTAGAATGCATGAACTTCCTCATTATTGCTTCATCTCACCTCATTGATGTACAGTCTCCCATTCTCCGACCTGCTGGATAGAAACCCGACATGACTCGCCCCAACATTACTGTCAGAGCAGTTACATTGTAGCAAGCTTGCTCCTCCAGACCTCTATTGGACACTAATAACTTTGGGCACTCTCTATATGGCAGTGACTGCTCGCCTCCCACATCCAGCAAACTTCTAGATTAACTTTAGTAAAGCCTGGTGTCAAATTTCCTCTGTCTGACATATCTGGGGCAATTGACAGGAACTGTGCAGGGCACCTATGGAGTGCCAGCACTTGATTTAGTGTATGACTGAACTTTAAGATGGCACAGACACCAGAAACCCCAGAAGGTTCTGCCAGTGGCCAACATGTCCACCTGTAGCAATTGGGAGAATTGGATAAGTAGGGTATGATTGGAGTATAATGAATAGGTAATGAGACAAGTTTGGGAAGTGTGAGAAAGCTCACTCAGGCTCACAGAGATAAATCCTCTATGAAACTCAGTGAAACTGACACTTTGTGAATTCTGTCAAGATTGGCCAATTTATTAAAAAAGCCTTTGAAGATTAGCAAACATAAGGAAAAGGTCACATGACTTTCAGAAAGTCAAAACATTTTAGGAGGTGATATGATATTTCACATTCTTAGACAAGAAGAGATGATCTTACATGGTAAAGTTTCAAGTGCTTGGTTCATTTCTTAGTTAAACTCTAAACTCAACTATATCAATGACCTGGAGATAGTAGGAACTGCAGATGCTAGAGAATCTGAAATAACAAGTTGTAGAGCTGGATGACCACAGCAGGCCAAGCAGCATCAGAGGAGCAGGAAAGCTTTCCTGCTCCTCTGATGCTGCTTGGC